CACTGACATATGTGTAAGCGCCAATCTATTATTATTATTATTATTATTAATGAAATAAAATTTTTCACACAGTTGGCAACCCATCTAAGAAACATTTTCGGAAGTTAACTTTACTTAACTTCTTCAGTTTCATTTGAAAATTTATCTTACCAATTACATTACATTAAAATTTTCAAACATGTGGCAGCCTCCACAAAAATATTTCCGGCTGTAAGCCTTCTTAAACGTATTTATTTTTACAGCCATATTGCAATATGGTGGTAACTCCTAATTGTTTTTCCTTCTGTATTTTAAGTTATGTTAAGTTAATAAATACCCCTATATTAATTTTTTTTTAATATCTGTAATGTACAGACATCGACCTGTTACAATTTTATGATATGTATATGTTTGCTTCTTTGAGCAGAGGCGAGTGGAGGTGAGCTAAGGTGAGGTGAAGATAGGTGGGTTAAGTAAATGTGAAGTGAGATGAATTTATGTGAGGTCTACTGAGGTGAGTTTAGGCAAACTGAGGTGAGTTTAGGTGAGGTGAGTTTAGTTGAGGTATGAAGAAGCTTAGGTGTAAGTTTTCTAACCCATAAAGTATTTAGTTTGAAAGTATTTAGCCATCTATTAAATATCTAAGGGTACATTCACACAGAAAGCATAGCCGAGCTGAGTAAGTTCGTTCCGAGCTGAGTGAAGCTTTCAGATTGCTGTATCTACATGAAAGTGTTCACACAGTAAGCCAGGGCGAATTAATATAAGGTGATAGCAGGAGAACAAAAACAAAAATTTACATGTATTTTGTTTTTGCTTTGGCGGCATAAACTGTCAAAATCTGTAAGAGTGTGTGTAGAAATTCAAACAAAATTTTTCAATTTGAAATCAGAAGCCGTGCGGCGAAACACGTATACAAAATCAGCTGAGCTAGTAACACCACCTTATATAAATTCGCCTTGCAGTAAGCTTTTTCATAAGCGTATTGGAGTTAAAAGCAAGCAGTTATTGCTTTTGAATTTTCTATTTAATTTTTCAGCTTCATACTTCAGCTGCTGCAAACAAGATATGAAAATATACAAATATAAACGAATTTTACAACTAATCTTTAAAATAAAATTGAGCAAATATATTCGCCGCTTTTCATTGACGATAACTTTTTTAGTAGCTTTGCAGCCGAAGCCCTTGAGAAAAGATCTGCTTCGCTTCGTTTAGTATAAACACCAGCAGCTTCGCTTTGTTCCGTCTTGCTTTGCTCGGCGTCGCTCGATTTTCTGTGTGAACGCACCCTAAGTCTATACTTAAAATTCTTTACTATCTTGCAACTTCTAAGTGCCTAAAATCTCTTCTGTGCCAACTGGCGCCAATTGGATATGTCAAGCGAAGCCAAGTTCTCCTCCTACTTTTTGTAATGCTGGATTTCCATTAGGCATTAAATGGCAAAAATGACAAATGACAAAGTTGGGTATTAAAAAACATTCGCGTCATTACGTTAAAAAATGTGTGATTAATTTCATTTCCATATGGCATTTTTTTTTTTTAATGGCATACATATATTTTTTGTCGTTGCAATGCCTATTGGAAACTCGGCATAACGATGTATTAACCATTATTTTCTGCGTATTTTTGGAGCATTTTTCTTGCTAAAAACTCACCGAAATATCTGCACATATTGCGGCACACTCGGCGCAAAATCCTTAACCGCCCACGAACGCAATATCGTGTGCTCGTCGGCTGCAGTCTTATCGGCATAATTGCGAGCAGCTAAAATAAAACAAGCCTCCGCCTCATTCATGCGCGCACGTGCCAAATCGCCATCCTTTAAACAGGAACCCTGTAAAGACAAAAGCATAATGTTTGGCATAATTAGTGCACAGGCCAGAGCCTCTCTAGAAAAGCTCGAGGGGGCGAGAGTTAGCGCGGCAATCGCTTCAACTGCATAGCGTACACACTTACGTATGTAGGCATAGATTAGCTGCAGTCAACGACAGACAAAATCATGCGCAAACTAATCAGCACAACAAGCGGAAGTGTGCAAGCGCTTTCGCGTTACGTGTTATGTGCTACTCACCTGAATATAAATGACACGTTGCGCCCAAATCGGCACCTGCAATATCATACGCATTGTTGTGTCCAGCTCCATGGGGCTAAGCAGCACCACATAGTAGTCTTGCAGCAGTGGATGCGCATAAAATTCGTTGAGGAAGTCCATGATTGTATCGGCATGCAGCGTTGTAGAACAGACGACTACGTGCTTTTCACTTTGCGCTCGATGCGACGAATAGCTACCGCCCAATTTCTGACGCTCCATCCACGTGAAGGCCAATTGTTCGAACTGTGGCGCAGAAATACGCACACAGAAGCATGTACGTGTAGATCCCATGTAAGCAATTTCCAGTGTTGAAGTGGTGAAAAGCAGATTAAAAAAACAAAAAATACAAAAGTTAAAAATATCGAGAGCATTAATAAACAGTAGAAGGCAGTGGAAAGGCTTGCAAGCTATGCGGTAGTGTGTGTTTAGTTCAAAAATCATTTGGACATGTCATATGTATGTACATATAACGCTGCCAATAAACAAGAGGAGAACGGTAAGCACACGTCAGCAGCCTACATGGGTCAGTTATGTCAGCCATTCGAAGCTTGGCAGGCAACGGATTGCCTGATAGCTGTTGGCTGATGGCTGCCACATTTGATGGCTAGCGATGCCTGTTTGCCGGTTTGCTTTTCGATGCGTTTGCAATCGTTTCATTGTAGTTGTTGTATGGTCATCTATTATTTGTTTTGAAAATTTCTGTCCGATTCGATTGCAAACCAGCAGTGCCACCATAAATGTGTTACAAAAGCGTGCACCCACAGTTGCCAATTAAGCTTTCCTTTCAGCGAATGCTTCAATGAACTTCTTGACGTTTATGCTGCAGTTTAATTTACGCAATTTCATTCTCTTCTGTGCGTAGGTTACACACATACACATGAAACAGACTTATAAAAGTCGTTGATTAACATCCACTTCGGCAAAAAAAAAAAAAGCACACACACACACACACACACACTCAGAAAATGAAAAGCCAAACTTTATGCATTTCGCGTTCCATTGCAATTTTCTACGTGTTATCAACGTTACTTTTTGCAAGTCGTTCGACTGAATACTTCTACATAGTTACCACTCACTCACTCGTCTAAGCTCCTGCTTTTGCAACGCATTCAGCTTCCGCCATTGACCGGCATCTATTGAAAACTTTAAATGCCAAAGTAGATTTGACATGGGGAAAATGGGTCAATTGGCATTTGAAACGATTAAAGCGGAGTTCATGTGAAGCAAAGATTTTTTTTCAAGTAAAATAGCATAGCACTTTCACTATTGGTGGCGCCAAACTTATTATTGAAAAAAGAAAATGTTTTATTTGCACCAGCGATAATTAGATCATACAAATTTACGAAAAAAAATTGTTTTATCGCATTCAGTTGTCCATTGCTATCTGGAATTTTTATGAGTATTAAAAAGTGCAGTTAAAGTAAATTAAAAGAAATATTTGGACGATTTTCTGAAACTTAAATAACTGACTATCTCGAACTTTAAGAAATATTTCAAAATAATTTGACCGCTTAGTAAAAATGTCGAGGCTTCGAAGGCTAACTAGGGGTTTTCAGTTTAACCCTTTGAGGACCAAGGGAAACATGATTCCCAAAGAGTTTTCGCACTTATAAGAAAACTGTGTGAATTATTTTAAAGCTTTCTGTTTTCTGTAATTTGCCTCATTTGCATTTATGTACATATTTTAGTCATAAAATTTAAGAAATAAATATACCTATAACAAAACGAGAAAAAAAATAAAAATTAAAATTCATAGAAAATAATAAGTTTTTGGAATAAATAATTTTTTTTAAATATAAGTTTTTGAATTAATTTAAAAAATTGTGTTTTTGAAAAAAGGAATTTTTATGAAAAAGGAATTCTTAAGAAAAATTACATATCTCTGCTATAGAAAAAAAAACTTTTTAGAAAAAAGGCATTTCTTAAACAAAAATAGTTTTACAAAAAGCAAAAAAAAAAAATTATTATTACAGAAATATATTTTTGTGGAGAAATATTTTTGAGGAAATTCGATTGCAAAAAATATTTTTTTTCCATTTCGTATTTTAAAGAAAAATCAGATTTTTACCGACTTCGTTTTATTGTGTATATTTTCAATTGTGGGCTTACGTACTCAACCATATTAAGAGAATAACAATTCTACATCCTTACAGGAAAAAAGTTCGAAGTGCAATTTCGTGTTTGCGGTACTTTTGCAAGGCAATTTCGCGTTGGCGATGGTCAATCCCGCGGACCATGGAGCGCTGAGTTGTATAAGCTTTACAACGATATAGACATAGCGTATTAAATTAAAATGGAGCGGCTTCGTCATGTTGTTGGGATGAACAGAAACGCTCCAGGAGGAAGAGGAAGGCCTTCACTGCTATGGGAATACCAGATGGAAAAGGATTTGGTCTCGCTTGGCATTCCCAATTGGCGTCAGTTGGCACAGAGGGGAAGCGATTGGCCTGCCTCGTTCGACTCAGTCAAAATCGCTTAGGCGGTTACAGCGCCAGTCCAGAAGAAAAAGAAGAATAATAATTTCTAAAATATATACATACATACATATGTAGGTACATACCGCGCCTTCGTACATTTTCGGTGACACCTACATTCGACAACCAAACTTTTTTTAAATAGTTCTATTGCATTAATCTAAACACATACTTAGCAAAAGTGCTTTATTTTTGGGAAGCTTTTTTACTAACATCAGAGAGGTAAGTTAGAGTGATAAGAACTGAGATCTGGTTGGTAAGTACTAGAACCGATAGAAATTGTTTTCTCGAGACACAAGATCGACAAAACATACTTCAATAGTTAACTGTTAACCCCGAAGATGTGCCTAAAAAAGAATTTTTTTTTTTGAAATTGCCTTGCAAAAATACTTTGGACTCGAAGGTGTACGGCGAACTAGGTTTTCTGGTACGGTCTAATATACATAGCATAAAAACCAATTCACAAAGATATTTGAGATATTTTTAATTTTTTTATTTATTTTTGATTTCCTTTTTTCTCTTTTGAACTGGAAAGTTACCAAAAAATCTGCAAAAATCGCGGAAATAGAATATCAAGAAATTCCGAAAATATAATCCCGGGAAAGACTCCAAAACTCCCAAAAGCTCCAAATTCCCATAAAATAACGAACAGTTTTTGGAAATAAAAAACTCCAAAACCCTCGAAAAAATTCTAATGAATCCGATAGAAAGTCAATAAAACTCCCAGAATTTTACAAAAAATATTCTGTAAAATACACATAATCTGGAAAAAGATCTTAATAAGTCCCAAAACATGATTACGAAGAAAAAAAATTAAGAATAATCCCAAAACCTTAAAAAAAGGCGAATAAATAGAAAAAATATATAAAACGGAACGGATAACAAAAAACCAAAAGCTTGCGATGAAACACAGAGAACTTCTATATATAAAACCAGAAAAATCCTCACAATATTTCTTAAGGTCCCGAAAATTCTTCTTCAATAGAGCTGAATACATTCCAAATATATCTGGAAAAGTCTCAAAAAATTTATTTTACACAAGCGAGCGTATATGTATTTTTTTTTTTTAAAGATGACATTGAGCTGACCATTTTCTCTGAACATATGTAGTCATAGTCCAGCACAATGCCTGCCTTGCCTTATTGAAGAGAAGCATGCCTTTTCAAAAAGTAGAGGTTAGAACAATTAGAAAATTTTTTGTGCATAATTTATTTTCATGAAAGAAATATTCGCACTAGATATACTTATTTTTCCTGATTTCATGTTTAAATGGAGGGTACACAAGAATTTTTATTTTTTTTTTTGAAGATATTAGAAGTTTTTTCAATTTCGTAGTCGTAGTACAAAAGACTCATTACCCCTTCAGTGAAAACGCAATTTTTATTTGCGCTACATCGCTTTGACAGTGAAATGCCAGCATTTGGTATGTTGTGGTTACTTAATCAATCTAAACAAATCCATAGCATCCTTGCAGTGTAAATTTTAGAAAAAAATATAGGTTAAGGATTGATATGCACACCACCACATTCCGTTCTTTTACTTCAATAGCTTAAAAAAAATTAAACTAATTAAAAGGCAATTTTCAATATCAATTCGTCCTTGTGAACCAAAAAAAAAAATAATACTTTTCAATTTTCCAAATTATTTCTTTCATTTGGTACGCATATTTTCATTCAAGATTGCACGTCACTTACGTTTTCACATTTGTACTTTTCTACCTGCTTCCTGTAAAAGGACCGTCTACACAAGCAAACAGACACATACGCATACATACATTCTTAAACAGAAAATATATCATATATGTATATGTATGTCTGGCGGCTCTGGAATCTTGGACTAAAATGTAGTAATTATTTTTAGATTTTATGAATATGAAAAAAAATATATATATCTACTTGAATAAAATTTTACATATAATACATGGTATAAATCGTTATTATTATAAATATGTTATCACCAATTTTAGTAAATCACTGTCCTTTCAAAACATCACTTCAGTAAAACAGTCAGTCAATAAAGTTTGGGTACAGCGATTTTTTTTACAATACGGGCAACCCCAAAAATCAGAGTTCCAAACCTTGTGCAAAATTAAAGAAAATTCTGAAAATCTTCATTCAAATATTGCACTGTTTATTTACGCTCTCCAGAAAAAAGTTGAGTATGCAGTTTTTAGCTCACTAAATTTTAGTGTAAGAAAAGTGCAAGTATTAGGAAGTTGGGACTTACCACTGATTTTTGGAAAATTTTTTTGTTGAAGATGTTGCACATTTTTTCCATATACAAAAATTATCAAACATTATTTGATATGGAGAAACTGAGCCACATCATCAAAAAAAAAAAAAATGCTAAAAATCAATGGTTAGTCCTAGCTACCCCAAACTCGCACTTTCTTATACTAAATTTGAATGTAATAAAAAACGGCGTACTCAACTTTTTTCTAAAGAGTGTAAATGAAAAGTGCAATATTTGGATGTAAATTTGTATATCCATTTCTATAAAAAATTAGCGAAAAATAAAATATTTAAAAAATAGTTTCCGGTATTGTGAGAAAAATATAGGTATCCTATAGATGAAAAATACACGTTAATCTTCTAAAAAAAAAAAAA